AGGAGGTGATCGATCTTCCACGCTGGGGGGTCCCAGCCATAAATCTCACCGGCCCAGTGGAGTCACCTAGGACCCAGAAGTCGCAGCCAGTACATTCCTTGGCTTGACAGGCTCTGGGCTGGTGCTGTCTGCCCCTCCCAGATCCCAGGCACAGGGCTCTCTATGGGGGCCCATCGATCTGAACATGGCCTCCATCACTGAGCCCAGAAAGCCTCTGTCCATAGAATGCCAATCTTTCTCCAGATATAACCTTGAGATCATGTGGCATGGCTTTAAGCAGACCTGCCCCAGGCTCCTTGAGGGTCAAGACTTCTTAACCCTTTTTATGCTGTGGAACCCTTGGGCAGGCTGGTGAAGTCCTGGGCCTCATCTTGGAGTAATGTTTTTAAGTGCATAAAATGAAATGTGTGGCATTGCAAAGGAAACCAATTATACTGACATAGCAACTAAAATATTAAAAAGATAAGTTTACAATATGGTAACTTATGTGTACCATTGTAATGTATTAAATAACTAGTGGAAGTCTAGTCATGATGACTGTCATACTTCCATAGTGATGACTGAAATATCCAGATATTTGCAAAACTCTATGGAGATATGAAAATGTCACAGAGAAGCTGTGGTTTGTTGCCTTTGCTCCTAAAGGAAGAAAATGGTAAATTTTAGCTAGTGGTTAGGGAAACAGAGATGTAATGTTTTCCCCGTGCAAGCCCATGATCCTCTGTGCTCTGCCCATAGGCTCTTGTAAAGGGAATGCTGAGTGAAGGGGAGCCAGCAAATGAAATGCTGAGTCCAAGAGGAGACCTACCACAGTCCTCACCAGCTCACGCCCTCAGAACCTGATTAAAATATGAAAACCTATCAAGTCTCTTAACAGAGTCACAGAGTCACAGACTTCCAGAGCTGGAAGGGCCAAAAATCCCTCTGCAGACACCCATGTTGGGTGACCTGGCTCTTGGCCTCTGCTTGCACACTTCACTTCAAGGGATGGGGAATTCACTCCCATTGGCGCCGGACAGGTCCAGGCTCTCTGAGCTACAGTGATGCACAAAGATGCGTCAGACTCAGGCTCTCCCTTAACGCCAGAGGACAGACAGAAAGGCAAGGACCCAGCCAGAGTGAAATATTTCTTCATTCAAGAATTGTTCTCAGAGTTTCTGCTTTCTGCCAGGCCAGAGGCCGGCACTGGATATGCTGAGGCTTACTTTTATAAAGCATTTGTTGGGTGTGTGCTCAGGTGCTGTGCTCAGTTCTTGTGTGCGGAGGTGGGGGGTGTGATACAGACGTGACACCTTCCCTCTGGGGAGACAGACAGTAAACACACAAATCAATATGTAATTGCAGTTTGCGATAATGACTGTGAAGAAATGAGCAGGGGAGACTCACAGGAGTGACTTCAGATCCGGGAGAAGGGAGGTCAAAGAAAGCCTTTTGGGGAAAATAACATTTAAGGCAAGATTTGGAGGCAAATAGGAATAGGAGGGGAAGAGTGGTGCAGGCAGAGGGGAGGGCAAGCAAGGAGGAGGCCCTAACTTGAGAAAGCTCCTGGCTACTGTTAGCAAGTGACTGGAGGCCCTGCGGCAAGCTGGAGAGGAGGGGCAGGGCAGGTTCTGGGGTCTTCAGTCATGCTAAGAAGTTTGCATATTATCTTAAGAGCTGTTGGAAGCCCTTAAAGGGTTTAAATAGGGTCTGTGTAAATGAATAACACAAAGACTCTAGCAGTTCCCAGGCTTGCAGCAAAGGCACTAAAGAGATGAAATATTATGAGTGAAAAAAAGCCTTTATTTATGTGCTCTGAACACCCCTCTTGAATGTGGTTTTCCTCAGGTTGAGCTCTGCCTGAATGCATTTCCCAAACTGTCTTTCTACTTGGTCCAATTAGGCTAACGTTTTTCCTAGCATCACCTCCTCCAGGATGGCTTCCTTAACAATTTAGTTGTGTGTGTTTCTCTGCAGCGCATCCTTGAGCATGCACTGCGTACAGCATCACTGCCTGTATACATGTGTCAGTGTCCACCTCCCTTCCTCCAACGCACCCCTGGGAGGCGGTGGATGTGGGGGCCTGGAGGGAGGGGAAATTGCAGAATCTTCAGCTGCAAACTGCCCCCCTCTCCCTCCTGCCTAATGAGGCTTGGATTGGAGCTGGGCTCTGCCACCTGCTGGCAACAACTGGAATGGCAGGCAAGGTGTGTAGGGAGAAAGGCGACCCCCCTGGCAATTGTAGGTCCACTGTGGCTTTTCTGAAAGGTAATCATACAGGATCTAGCTAGACCTTGGGCCTATATAAGGGGGCCTGATGATTCGAGGTGGCAGAGCTGGCCTGGGAAAAGGAGGGAGGAACGGGGCATTAACAGAACAGCAGCTCAGAGATGGGGACACAGGGTCCAGCCCTCTGGGGCTGCTGAGGCCTGAGTCAAGATCTTGGGTCCAAGCCAGACCAGCAGGAGGCCCAACGTGTTACCATGGGGACGCAGGGCTGTGTCCAGACAGCTGGGGAGATGACCCTCCCCCGCAGCTGAATGAGGACACCCAGAGAGCAGAGACCAGCCTCAAAGCCAAATGTCCACCCACACCCCCCTTTTCCGGAACAACTTGTTTTGCTCTAAAGCTTGGGACTTTGACCTGGGAGGTGTTTTCCTCCTGTTGGCCACCTGATGTTCTTCCTGCTCATCCCCCTCCCACCACCCCCAAGCATGGCCCAGGGAGTTCTTGCTCTTCCCTGGGTTCTTAGGGAAGGGGGATGCCGGGACGAAGTAGGCAGGACCTGGGACCTGGGGACTGGTGGGAGAGGCTGGCTTGCTCCTGGGGGTACTGGCCGGAGTCGGGACCACAGCAGTGACTTCTCTGCCCATCTCTTCTTGGACCTCTCCTTCCTGGGCTTCTGGGACATCCCGCTCTTCTGGGTCCTTCCTCCGGCTCCCTCCTGACTTCCCTTCCTCTGAAAGACCCGTGTGCGCTGGGGCACTGTTCTGGTCCCTCACTTCCCACCTCTAACAGCACACACCACACGGACATACCATACACACATAGATACATACCATACACCTCCCATACACACACACAGACACACACACTCCCTGCGGAGACCATGTGCTCTGTGTGTGCTTCATGCCAATCCTCTGCCACAGATGTAGCTCTCTACTCCAGACTCAGGCACTTTACAGCTAAGCTCACCATTCCTCCCCACCCCCTGAAACTTGCTCCCGCCCCTTCTGAGGCACCACCATCTACCAGCTGGCCAAGCCAGAAACCTGGGCGTCTCCCTCAGCAGTTCTCTCTCCCTCACCACCCACTCCCAGCTAGTCGCTGTGTTCTAGCAACCACGTCCTGTCTATTCTGCCTCCTGAACAGAGGTAGAATAGCTTGCTCCAGTCCCACTGCCATCCCCTGGCACAGGCTTGGTGCTGGCTAGGTGGCTACTGTAGCAGTCTCCCCGTGACCTCCCTTCCTCCAGCCTCAACACTCTTCTTTCGTTCTCCACTCTGTCCAGAGGTGTTTTCTCAAATGCATATCTAACCATGTGACTTTCCTGCTCAAAACTCTCGGAGAAGGCACCAGTGGGTGTTTGTTAAATCCAACCCTGTTCCTTGCATTCCAATCAGTGATTCCCTGGCTGTTCATTAACATGCATAATGCCTACTCTAGTCAAACTTTGTGCCAGAAAACTGTGGGGACACCATGCTGGGGTTGGGAGGGAGAACAGGTCATACATGTACGGAGGCATCATTCAAGCCAGGTTCCCCCAGATCACCCTGAGACACCCCATCTTTGGATGGTAACGGGGCCCACTGTGCCTGCCTGCATGCACACACACATGTCCACACATATATGGGAAGAAGAGATGGGGCATAATGTTGGAGTCCTGCAGAGCCATCCTGCAATAGAAAGGGTGCGCAGGAGGTCCTGTGAGCAGCAATTTGGTGGCTTCTGGGCAGGGAGGCTGTGGAGGGGCTTCCAGCTCACACCCTGGCTACTAGGGACCCTCCATCTCTGAGGCTGCTGGATCCTTCCTTCTTGATGTCTGTGGAGCCCGACTCTCAGCATGTCGGGCTTCCTGTACTTCTGGTGTGGGGTGAGGCAAGGAGACAGCATGACCCTTAACCCTGAGACAGGTACTCTGGTCATTTGCAGTCCTGAGATGGAAGGCCTGATGGATTCCATGTGATCCTGGGATTTGAGGGCCCAGGGGTGCAGAGCCCCAGATTGGACCCTGGCTTCTTGGGGTGTCTTTCCTTTGCCCTCCACAGCAAGCTGTGTTCACCCACTTCTCTCCCTGTGATAGGTGGAGATGGGTCAGAAGGTATGTGTCAGGGCCTCTGACCATGCCCAGATCTTGTCCCAGGGAGGCTCCACCCAGCTTCCAGGGACCACATCGGGGGCCAAGAGGAAGAGCTAAACTCTGCCAGGTCGCTGGGCTGGCAGGGAAGGCTGGGGACTGGGACCCTCAGGCCCCCTGTCATGGTCCTCATGGGAGAGGGTGGGTTTAGAGAGCTATGGAGATAGGTGGAGGGTGGAGGGACAGAAACCAGGGCTGTGTCCCAGGGTCTGGCTGGACTGAGCAGGGACTGGTGAAGGGAGAACAAGAACTAGGCTAGGCTCTGGGGAGGGGGACAGCTCCGACCTTTCCCTAGCCTCTGGGGTTTTCCCCGCACTCCCTTCTCCCTGAGTCAGCCAGTAAATTTCTTAATCCCGCTGTCAGCCTTCCAAGAGGCCCTGCCCTCTGGGCTATAGGAGCAATAATGTGTCATTCTTTTCCTTGGGGCCCAGCCCCACTACGAGGAAGGGGGAGCTGATGCCCCAACTCCGGGGAGGCCTGGGGCTTGAAAGTGAGGTCCAGACTCTCCCCACTCCCCTGTCCTCACACCCACATCCGTAACCAGCCTCTGAAAGATGACCTATAATGCCAGCTCCAGCGGTCTGGGCACCGGCCAGGGGAGCCAGGTCTGGCAGCTCATTACCATGGGAGGGAGGGCAGTTTCTCTCCGCCTTCCCTCCTCCTTCCTCCCTCGCCTTCTTTCTCACCAGCTACTCTTCTCCAAGCCTGAGCTGAGCCAGGCTGGTCTCAGGCGGACACTGACAGACTTCACAGAAGCCCCAGCGGCTGCTCAGATACCAGTGGCAGGAGGAAGGCCTAGAAGCTGTCCACAGCCATGTCTGCCTTGGGCCTGGTCATTCTGGGTCTGCTCATGGCAGTGCCACCTGCCAGCTGTCAACAAGGTAGCACAGAACTGGGCCCACCTGGTGGCTGTGGTGAGGAGAGGGCTGGGCTGGGTGCTAGCAACCCAGGGGTGCATGGGGTAGTCTTCGGCCTCCCTCACCATCCTTGACACCTACAACTTGAAGGGAGAGCAGCAACTGGGTTCCCTGGAGGAATCTCCAAAGACAGAGACCTCTGAGCCAGGCTTCTGTCTGTGCCCTGTTTTCCACGAATGAAAAATGTGGGCATCAGGGGAAATGTTGGGTCTGGGACTGGGGAGAGGAACTGAAAACCAAGCTCTTGGAGTGGAATTGCTTGGGAGATGGCTGGGTCCTGAGGACAGGGGCTCGGGGGCTACAAGGAGGCTGGGAGTGAGGTCTGAGCCGCCCTGCAAGGAGGCTTGTTTCAGGGGAGGGGCAGTGTCCCCAGCGGTTTGCCTGTTTGGGCCCAAGTCCACCTTGTTTCAGCTTCCGGGGCTAGGGTAGGGGACAGTGCCTCTGTGCCCCCAGCCACATACCCAAGCTCTTCATCGAGCTCTGCCTCTGTCTTGCTTTGTGGCCTTAAGCAAATCACTGTCCCTCTCTGAGACTCAGTCTTCTCACCCATAAAATAAGGACAATGAACCTGTCCTGTCCACCTCCCAGGGCTGCTGCCAGCTCAAGGGTTCTTGGGAACTGAAGATCAGAGGGGTTGAGTAACTTGTGTAGGTCACACAACAGAATAAGAAGGGACAGCTCAGATCACCTCTCCTGCCCCAGCCCAGGCTTTGCCCCTTGCACTATATGCTCCATCCAGAGCCACCCGAAAGGAGGAGCAGGGGACTGGGTCTCTGGGGCATCTGGAGGCAGTTGGCCGCAAGGTCAGAGGCCTCCCAGGGCTTGAGCCCTAACCTCCAATCCCTGAGCACCACTGACCTGAGGAAACAATGGGCCTGAACCATCATTTCTTGGAGCAACAATGAATCTAAAACACTGCTTTTCGGCAAGTATGGAACTCAGGGTAACCACACTGTGTATCTTCTGTTACCCAAGGTCTGGCCTAGCCACAGGCCAGAATTCCGAGACTCCTGCCTGCTTCCCAATACCTGCTAGGCTCAGAGAAGAGGCAGGGCTTTCACTACAGCAGCAGAGCTTTAAGGTAGATTCAGGGAAGGACTTTGGAGCAGAAGGGAGGCAGAATGAGGATTTTGATGCCCAACCTGAGCCCCTCAAATATAGGATAGCAATAGGGATTTAAGTGTTTTGGCCTGGAGGCAGGACCCCTCAGAAAACTCCTGCTGGCCTCTGTCCCCTCCTGAGACCTCTACCTGCTGTTGTGTGTCTGGCCTCTGCAGGGCTGAACTCCTTCTGGCTTGTGAGCTCAGTGATGCCTGGGATAGAGGAGAGGCCTTTGGAGCTACCAGTGGCTGACAGCAGAGACTTCTGGGAAAACTTGAGGGTTAGACACCTCAAAGGTCAAAGGTCAAAGTCAGAGATGCTGCATAGATGGGGCCTCACCTGGTCTCTGGCCTAGTCCCCTGGGCACCCAGTCAGATGAGCGAAAAGGGACTCAGGTTTTGAAGCACTCTTCTTGGCTCCCAAGCCCCAGAGGGGAGCTCACCCTTCTGTATTGCCTTTCTAAAGACATTCTGTCCTGCCCTTCTCTCTGGCACCTCTGGCAGCCTGGCCTGTGCGGCACTCCCACGCCCTACCTAGCATCAGAGAAACCTTGTTCCAGAACAGGATCTTCCAGATGCCAGCCCTATCCTATCAGCTCTGGGCTTCTGGAGGCCAGGGAAAAGGAGAGCCACCCTCAGCTGGCAAGACCTAGGCTGGCTGTCCAGAGGGCTGCCCTTTGGTCTCTGGGGCCCAGGTGCTCCCTGGGGGGCCCTGCATGTGACCCATGGCAGGGACCTGAGGCCGTAATCTCTCTGGATCTCCTTGGCTTCTCATTCCTTCTTTGAATTCCTGTCTTCTTCTAAGCCACCATGCCTTGCATCAGCTCAGGAGGGGGTCATATGGCTCTTCCCTCTCAGAATGTCTCCTCTGCTTCTGGCAGCCTGCTAATGGCCCAGCACTTGGAGCACAAGGCTACTCCCTCCTCTGTTCTGTATTTGGCAGCCCCCACTGTGGCCCAACCCCTGCTACCCTCTTTCCAGGCCTGGGGAACCTGCAGCCCTGGATGCAGGGCCTTATTGCTGTGGCTGTGTTCCTGGTCCTCGTTGCAATCGCCTTTGCTGTCAACCACTTCTGGTGCCAGGAAGAGCCGTGAGTGCTGCCCAGGGGCTCCAGGGTGTGGGCCGGTGCCAGCAGGGGGCCCCCAGAATTACTGCTACTGCCCTGGTAGCTATGAGAAAGGCCTCAGAAACCCTGAGGCCAGTCCTCTCACTGTGCAGAAAGGACCTGAGGCCCAAGCACTTCGGGATTAGCACTCAGGCTTGCTGGCTCCTAGACCTGGTTCTGCCAGTCCCCACAGCTCTGGTGCTCACTCACTGTAAGCTGTGGGGAAATGTCTCCTCTGCTTGGAGTCTCAAGGTTTCTATCTGTGTAATGGGGACAGTGGCCTGGCCTGTGATGGGGGTTGTGGAAACCTTTGAAAGGAAGGTTTCATCCTTCAAGGTCAGCTTCTCATTGGCTTCTCATTCTTTCTTTGAATTCCTGTGGGTATAGAGAGAGGCAATGGGACAGACATATCCCTGTGCTGCCAGGTTCCCAAAACAGGAAGGCAGGCAGGCATGGAAGGGGTGATCACAAGCACAACTACTGGGGCTGGAGGACAGAGTGAGCACAGGGCCCGAATGCACCTGCGTGCACTCCAAGAAGGCTTTCCAGTGCCCGTTTATGCTGACACCTGGAGACTCAGTGGGTGCCATTCTCAGGATCGAGCGGCGTGGGAAGAACACTGCAGTCAAAGGAAGAGTGTGCCTGTGGCCCTGTGCAAGGCCGCACTTGCCCCCAGCTCTCACAGAGGTGGCCTGGGGCCTGCGTGCTGGCAGGAGCCTGCCTGGCCATTGAGGAGACACAGCAGCTCAGGGGTGGAGAGAGGGCCGGAGTGGCCTGAGATAAGCTGGCGAGGTGGGCAGGACCCAGTCCGAGCAGACCCTGTACACCAGCGCCCTGGACTCTGGGCTTTATCCTCCGTGCAGCAGGAACCCAGTGAAAGCTTGTAAGCTGGTCTTGGGTGAGATGTGGCCTGAGCAAAGGCACTCCGGCCCCCATGGCAGATGCATGGGGCAGAGGCCAGTTTACAGGGAAGGGGAGTGATGAGGAGGCTGGGCCCAGGCAGCAGGACTGCAGAGGCAGCAGAGGGGACAGGGCTAGGAGCTGTCTGAGAGGCAGACCCCTGGGAGTTGGTAGTGCGGACAGCAGAGGGCAGGAGGGAGGAAGGACAGGGATGACGTCCAGGCTGCTGATGGGATTCCTCACTGAGACAGAGAACACAGGAGGCAGATCTGGGCAACTGCTGAGTTTAATTTGGGACATACTGAGTCTGAGGTACCTGTGGGGTATCCAGGGACAGAGGAGCAGTGGTAAGGGTCCCTGTGAGAGCAGTTTCCAGGCAGCTGGCAATGGGGGCCACACTCAGTGTATTTAAACTTGAAAAACAGGCCAGGAGCTTTTCACTGGAAATGCTTCCATTTTCAACAGGCTCGCCTGTGGTGTCTATAGGCCAGGCCTGCTCCTGCTGCTTGGGGAAAGCCCTGGGGAATTCTCGAGCAGACAGAGTCCTGCTGGCTCTGCTCTAGAGGCTGAGCTGAGGCTGGAAGGAAAATGGCAGAATGTGAAGTGGCAGTGCAAGGCCTTGCATAAACCTGAAAATCTCAGGCTGGACCTGAGGCCCCCACCGTGGAGCATGGAGCAGGGTGTGGGGGCCTGTGGAGTGGGGTCAGGACCAGGCCACTGACAGGGGCCCTGCTGGAGAGGGGGCTTCTCCCCAGGGGGCCTCTCCCCTTGAACTTGTGAGAACCAGAGCCTAGGGCCTGACTGGATGAAGGGAGGAAGGCAAACAAAGACAGAGGGGACCTGGGGAGCCCTACTGATGAGCCTCATTCCCAGGGAGCCCACGGACATGGTCATGACGGCTGGAAACAAGGCAGATGGCATCCTGGTAGGTATGGATGGAAAGTACTCCTCGATGGCGGCTGACTTCAGGTGAGGTGCTGGTGCAGGGCTGACTGCTCTGTGCTTCGGGGTCCCCTGGGTCCAGGTGCTTCTGGGTGTTCAGTGAGGGATGGGGGCTTTGTGAGGACTGCAGGGCTCCATGGGGCCATGAAACCTCAGTTATGGGGGAAGGACTAGTAAGGGGGTGGGGGCTTGGTACAGGAAGGGGCTGGGAGGGGGATTGGGACTCATAGGGAGGTGCGCAGTGGGGAAAAAGGGGGGAAGGGAAGAAGGTGACTCAGGATGGATGAATAGGGGTACTCAATGTAGGGAGAGGGATCAGTAGGGGAGGGAGCTCGGTGCACAAAGGGCCCAGTGGAGAACCGAGATGGGGTTCAGGGAGGTCATATTGAGAGGCCACTGGTCTCAGGTGCACCAGGCCAGAGGTGAGCGAGGGAACTCCCTTTTGGGACCCGACCATTTATTCTGGAAGATACTACCCTCATAAGTGCACAGCAGAGCAGGGAGAAGGGGATGGGATGGAAGGTGTCATGACCCCTGTCATCCTCTTTCAGGTCCAGTGAACATGAGAATGCCTATGAGAACATCCCTGAGGAGGAGGTCAGGGTCCAGGTCACCCCCATGTAAACCCCACCTGCCTGTGGCCGGAGGCCTGGTCCCAGGGGTCTGTGACTGATGCTCAGCTCACCACCCATGTTACTCCTCCTCCTCACAGGAACCCACAGTAAGGGCCCGATTCCTCCAACTGCACACTGGCCCCACCCTCCCTTGAATTGTACCAGCCAAGCTGGGAGTTCAGGCTGGCACCACCCGTCTGCTGCATCTCTCTGCCCCCAACCATGAAAATGGCCCTTATTTCTGTGAAATAAAGATATTTTGTACCTCTGGGCCTGATGTTCCAGGGCTCAGAAAAGGCCCTTCAGGCTTCCAGCCAGGCCCAGTCTTGCTTTCTGAATCATAACAATCACCTTCCAAGCCCCTGTCAGGGTGGCTTTGGAGAATTACCCAGGAAGGCCTCTCTGGGGAGTCCCATAGACCCAGGAAGCTCACTCACTGCACCCTTTGTTCCAGGCAGAGGGCCCCTGGAAAGTCCCCCTCCCCTGACCTGCCCTTCTGATTCTGGCCCAGTGCCCCTACAGCCAGTGGCATGTGTGCCTCCTGTGGAGTCACTCCTCTCTCAGCCGTCCAGCTCTGTCCTTCCCCCCATAGCTGCCGCTTGGGCTCATAGCCAGCAATGCCCAGGACTCCGGGAGCCCAGGCTGGAGTCTGAAGTCCCTGCGACTGGCTATGTGACTTTGGGGCAGTCACTGTCCTCCCTGAGCTCTCCTCCCCCCTGCGGGAGGTTTGGCCAGTCTCCCCCAGAGCTGCAGTCAGGGTATCCTTACCAGTGCCGCAGTTCCCACTCCCGAGTGGGGGTGGCCAGGGAACTGGGTCCCAGGAGAAGGATGGAGAGAGAAAAGAGAGGAGGCATGACTCAGTGGGCTGGCTGACCCTAGAGGCCTCACACCTCTGTGACTGTCATTCTTATAGGAGCAGCCTCCACGTCAGGTTGTCACCCCAGGAGCACTCCCAGATCCAGGAAAGTGGGGCCAGAGAGCAGGAGGCGGTCCCCCGTGTCTCCAAGCTGCCCCTCTGCCACTTGTCCTAACCTGTCCCAGCCCTTCACTTCACCATTACAGCCATGCCTTTGCTGTTCCAAGGCTTCACCCAAATATCCCTGGGGGCCCATCTGAAATCTGAATGATCCCTTCTCACCTCACTGGGGTCTAGTTTGCAGCCTGCAGCAGAGGGAAGAGGCTTGAGCAGAGGGATGGCAGGTCTTTGCCCCATGCTTATCCATGCCCTGCTGTGTGACTGGGGACAAGTGTCTTACCCTCTCTGGGCTTCAGCTCAGTGAACTGTGGCTATAGCTCTTATGAGTACCACTCTAGACCTTTGTTCATGTGGACAGATGCCCTCTCACCCACCTCTACAAGTTTAAACTCTGCATATTCCTTCTTGGCCCTGCCAAGGTTCCTCTTTATCTAGGAAGTATTCCTCCACCAGATTAGAGGGCAGAGCCAGGGTGGGGGCGGTAGGGGAGGCCTGTCACTGAAGGAGAGACAGCAGTTCCTAGAGGGCCTCTGCTAAGGCAAAAACACCCCCTTCTTCCCTTCCAGGCTCCTGGATCTGATTCCCCCTCATGAAGCTATACTCCTTCCCGTTGCTGCCCCAGTTGTCCCTGAGCGGTAGGGGTGGATTCCAGTCTGATGGCCCACCAGCCTGCCAGGGGCCAGAGCAGAGCCACCACCCTTCCATCTCCCTGCAGCAAGTGAAGCCTGGCTGAGAGTGTCCCCAGCAGAAGCTGGGGGAGCTGCTGTCCAGTCTGGTCTGTTGGGCAGAACTCCTGCACCCTGCCCAGGCTTCTCTAGGAACCTCCTCAGCCCCCTCCCCATGTGCTGGCAGGACCAGGATATTGGGAAATCTTGGGGGGCCTTGCAGGTGCTGGGCTAGCCCTGACCTTCCCGAAACCCCATGTTCCTGCCCTGGCTGGGGGCAAGGGGCATGAAGCTACAGGCCCCAGAGCCCCTAATCCTTATCGCTGGTTCCCACCTGCCAGCCTGGCCAGATGAAGGAGGGAAAGGAGGCTGGGCCCAGGCCAGGGCGGCGCTTAATGACCCTCTGGGGCCTAATCTCAGGCTGGCAGCCGCAGAGTAGCTCAGGCTTGCTCCTGGAGAAGGCTGATAACACACCAGCTGGGCCCCCCACCATCTATCGGGGCTGCACAGCCAGTCCTGAGGGGCGGCGCTCAGGGGGCCTAGGGAGGGGAGCCTCTCTGAGCAGGGCGGGACAGAAGCAAGCTCTCGGTCCCTCCCCCTCTCCCCGTCCCTGCCCTGGGGGAAGGGAACTGAGCTCCTTGAGTGACAGTTAAGGGGGCGGGACTTGGCCCGCTGAACCCGAGCGGTGCTGGGCCTGCTGGCAGGACACCTCAAAGGGCCAGTGCACCTTCACTTCTTCCTGCTCCCTACCCCCTCTTTTCTCCCCAGGTAGGACCTCTCCCTCTCAGTGTTGGTCTCCTCTTTAGATCTCCCACCTTTTATGGATCTGTCTCTCTGCCTCTGTCTCTTTTTGAAGGTGTCTCGTGTCCTCTGCCTTTATCTCCATCTTTTTGTCTCTCTCTGTCCAGTCTCCCCCTTCTCCTTCCCTCCACTTGAGCCCAGTGCCCACCAGCCTCTCTGTCCCCTTGCATTCTTTTTGGATTTCTGGCTGGTTCATTCTATGCCCCTTCCCCAGCTATCCCCACCTGCCCAAGCCACCCTGATGCCACCCCTTGGCAGGTGAGTCCTGTGCCCTCACTGGGGTTTCACTTTGTGTAGCGGCATCTCCCCCTGACCCTCCACCTGCCCTCTGGGTGGACGGCTCAGGTTGCCCAGGCCCTGGCCCTAGGACTGGGAGGCTCTAGGCCCTGGGATTCTCTGACTGCTCTAAGACATTCTTGCTCCTCCTGTGTCTTTGAAAAGGGCCGCCTATTTCTTTTTCCTTTCTGCCTAAAACATGTGAATTCCACAGGGTTATATTATAGGTCACACCCAAACTCAGGCATGAAAGGCTCCACCCAGGAACTGCAGAGTTGAAGATAGATTGCAATACTGCTTATTACAGTTAGACTTGAAGAGGAACTTCCAGCCTGGAGTTGGTTTTGGGAACGGCTGTGGAGTTCTGTCTCTGTCTGTATCTATCTCGAGTGTCACCTGTTAAAGGACAGAGTACCAGGTGGTCAGGATAATTTTCAAGTTCACTTCCCTCACGCTCAGAGTAGCATGGGCAGAAATACTGCTTACTTTTTGGGCTTCAAGGAGCCATCAGACTGGGACTACTACTGGGCAGAGTCTCCTCCCCCAGCTGAGGGAAGAGGTAGTGTTGGGACGTGCAGAGTGTCACTCCAGGGGTGACCCAAGTCACACACACTCTGCCCTGTCCCCTTGGACCACTGATGAGTCAGATGGCTGGAGCTGTCAGAACTTGCTCTGGGGCTAGGGTGGGAGGCATCTGCCTCCTCTCCAGGTCTGGTCCAGGGCTTGGAACCCCTGGCTTGGCTCTCCTTCCAGTTTTCAGTCCCTAGAAGTACACACAGTGGCCAAGAGCTTGAGAATTGTGCAGTCTCTGGTTCAAATTTCAGCTCTCTTCCTCACTGCCTGTGGGACCATCTAGCCTTTCAGCTGCTCCATTCACTTGCCAGTAAAATTGGTTCTGTCATGTCTTCCCTGTAGGGCTGCTGGTTATTATACGTGCTATGTTATTATAGCACCTAAGACTTGCCAGAAAGCCCTCTAGGTGCACTGAGAGCCGCTTCTGGGAAGCTCCTCCCCTGCCCCTGGGTTAGGGGTTTCCTCTGGGCTGCTCCAGCCATCTCTGCACTCACCCCCCTGCTTTATCTGGTTAATTGTCTGTGTCTAGCTCAAGCCTCAGATCTGGGGAGCTTCTCAAGGGCAGAAATGGGGTCACTTACCTCTCTGTGTCACCCAGGACAGGGCTGGGCTCCTGGGAAGGGAAGCCCTAGGGGTGGTAAAGAGACCTGAAGGGACTAAACCCTAGTTGTCTGTCCAACCATACGTCTGTCCATACCCCTCAGCCCACACAGGCACAAACACACATGCATGGACTCTCTCAAGCTCTCTCTGGCTAAAGGTCCTGCGGTCAGTGACCAGCCCTCCTGAACCCTGATGCTCCATCTGGCCTTCAGTTTGGAGAAAGGGCAAGGACTGTTCTCCCTCTGTCTAGCCTTGGCTGCCATCTGGTGGCTCTATGCTCAATAGGTAAGGGCAGATTCAGCAGAGCCTTTGAACTTGCACTTCAGGTGGAGCTCTTGCCCCTTAAGTGCTGGGATAGGAGGTCTTTCCATGGCAAGGAAGACCAGGACCTTCCTTAGTCTCCCTGTGGGCTTCACGGGCAGCTGGGCCTTCAATGCCCCTCTTTGTCCATAAATAGTTCCATGTGCTACCGATGGAAGCCAGGCTCTTGGGGGCTTAGCGGTCCTAGTCCTGATGATGCACCTCCCTTTCTCGCTGAAATGGTCTGGGAGCCCAGTGGCTCTGCCATAGGGCATTGCTCCAGAGCACAGGGGATGACAGCATTTCTGAGATCATGTTCCCTGGAGACACTGACCCCCTGGAGAAGCGGAACAGAGAGAGCTGGATATGAGAGAGAGAGAGGGCAAGTATCAGTCCCTGTATCAACCTAAGCAAGGTGGAATATACTGGAGCCAGGGACACTGCACTGGGCTGTGTGCCCTCTGCCCCCAGCAATCTGGTTTGGGCCTGCATCTGCCTGTTGGGAGGGAGCCTTTTTTCTGATTCTCACAATGGCAGTATATAGACTAGCAAATTGCACTGAAAATGGCAGGTGCCAGGGACACAGGACTGTGTGCGGGGAGAAGATGCATTTATGGATATGAGGAGTTTAAGAACCTGTTGGGCATCCACAGGGATGGACTGGAGCATGGTTGGGAGAAAGATTTATGTCTGAAGCTCTGGCAAGGGGTTAGTACTTGAACTAGAGATTTTTGTCTTTGAGTTGGATCCATTGGGAGGTTATAAGCCTAGGTCTGAGCCAGGCAGCCTGGGCACAGCCCTGGGTCTGACACTTAACACTGTGTGAGCTTGGATAAATTGACTTAACTTGCGAAGCTACAGTTTACTTATCTGTAAACTGGGGGCAGTAAATGGTGTCTATCTAATAAGAGATGTGAAGATTAAAATAAATAATGTAAACAAAACACATAGAATGCTAGGCATACAGGTAGTGCACAATGAGTGTTAGCTATATTTTTTTTATCTCTATTATTATTACAGAATGAACTGAATTGGATGCAAGACTCCAGTGTGTCAAAACTAACAAAATCCTTAGAATTGTTAAGCTCAATTTACTAATATTGCTTGTGGAATCTTAAGCCCAA